ATACTGTGCAATTGAAGATTTCTTGCTATTGCGCAATACTGTGCAATTGAAGATTTCTTGCTATTGTGCAATACTGTGCAATTGAAAATTTCTTGCTATTGCACAATACTTATTATATAATAATTTACACATCCTGTTTGGTGTGTATCTCCTACCATATCATTATTATTTGCTTTTAAATATAAATCAGAAATAACCAACTTAAAATGGAAAATTTTAAAAGAAAAAAAAAAGGAAAAAAAGAAAAAAAAAAAAAAAAAAAATCCCCCCCCCAAATTTTTTGAACCCCTTTATGATTCATCACCCCCACACTCAATCCCAGCCTTCCCTTTGTGGTATGGTACCTTGCAGTACAATTTCAGAGAGATCCATACACTTGAACACAAGTTATTGTCTGGAAACTAGAAAAATGCTTATTTTTGGCCCCTTTTTGGCCCCTAATTCCTAAACGTTTCGGGCAATTACCCCCAAACTCAATTCCAGCTTTCCCTTTGTGATATGGAACCTTGTAGTACAATTTCAGAAATATCCAAACACTTACACACAAGTTATTGTCATGAAACTAGAAAAATGCTTGTTTTTTGCCCCTTTTTTGGCCCCTAATTCCTAAAATTTTGAGGCAATTACCCCCAAAATCAATTACAGTTTTCCCTTTGTGATATGGAACCTTGTGGTACAATGTCAGAGAGATCCATACACTTACACACAAGTTATTGTCTGAAAGTTACAAAAATGCTTATTTTTGGCCCCTAATTCCTTAACTGTTGGTACCATAACCCCCAAAATCAATCCCAACCTTCCTTTCGTGGTATTGAACCTTATGGTGAAATTTCATGGAGATCCATTCACTTAAACTAAAGTTAGAGTGCGAAAACCAATGTGTCTTCGGACGACGCCAGACGACGACGACGATGCCGACGACGACGACGACGACGCCAACGTCATACCAATATACGACCAAAAAATTTTTAATTTTTGCGGTCGTATAATTACTAGAAAAACAAGTATTAGGGACAATTTTTCCTAGGAAAAATAAGTGCCAGACATATTTTACTAGCTATGGACTTATTTTCCTAGGAAAATTTGTCCTGGGACTTAAATTCCTAGTAAAATAATGGTCATGGACTTGATTAACTAGGAAAAAAAGTCTGGCAGACAAATTTTACTACCGGACCAAATTTACTGATACCGTGGAAATTATGTACTTATATTTTGGCATTGCACAATGTCGTGCTTTTCTAAGACTGTTTATGAAGTCTTTACATTAAATGTGTCCGGATTGATACTTTTGTCATGGAGAACATAATATACTAATTAGTTGTTATTGGCTTTGAACTTTTTGTCTTTTGTTTTTTTGTTAGTTTATTGTGCTTCATGCCAATCTACCTTGTGCATTTTGTTGGCCATATTGTTACACAATGAATTTGTATACAAGTAACAAAAATCCTAGTTCTGAAGTTAAAATGTTATTGAATAGTCTAATAAAATGCTCTGCAGGGCGCAGCTTGATACGGCTGCAGAGGTCGAACCCTGAACAGTTGAGCAAGTATGGACACTATATTCAAGCTTGATACAGCTCTGAATTTGGATTGTGATTAAAATATTTGAAACAGCATAGATTTCTGACACAGAATGAATGTGGTCAAAGAACAGAAAAATTTGAAATTGGACTTTTACCTAATATGGTCCAATATCCAAAATCTAGATACACGGTTAGATTCAGCATATCCAAGTACACCAAGAATTTAATTTATTTATCAATGGACAATATTAGTTAAGTTTTCAAGGGGGTTTGCTTCATCAATATATATATATATATATATATATATAGCATTCTTAAAAATAATTTATACAGAATAAAAAACAAACCTTTAACAATTTTCAAAATATCATTCCTCATTAATACAATGTCTTTAAAAAATCAATAAAAATTACCTTTACCTTAAAGTTTAATCATTTTTCAAAATATCTAATAATGAACAGTAATTTTCAAACTATATTTATCTATAATTTCTTCTTTAAAATTAGATTTGATGCTGTATCTATTTTTAGCTATGACTCTACTTACAATTTCAATTAATTGTGCAATACAGCTCTGAATTTGGATTGTGATTAAATATTTGATATAGTATAGTTTCTGACACACAATGCATGTGGTCTAAGAACTTTAAAGTTTGAAATTGGACATTTACCTATTATAGTCCAATATCCAAAATCTAAATACCGGTACATGGTTAGAAGCAGGATATAAAAGAACCACAAGAATTCAATTTTTGATAAAATCAAACAAAAGTTTAATTTTTGACCCTGTAGACCTCAATGTGGACCAAATTGATAACAGGAACCAAAATCCAAATTCTAAATACACGGTTAGATTCTGCATATCAAAGAACCCTACATATTCATTTTTTGTTGAAATAAAACAAAAAAGTTTAATTTTGGACCCCAATTTGGACAAACTTGAAGACTGGGCCCAAATTGAAAAATCTAAATACATGTTTAGATTCAGCATATCAAAGAACCCCTTGAATTCAATTTTTGTTAAAATCAAACTAAGTTTAATTTTGGACCCTTTGGACTTTAATGTGGACCAATTTCAAAAACCTGTCCCAAAATTAGAAAATCTATATACATGTTTAGATTCAGCATATCAAAGAACCTGAAGAATTCATTTTTGTTTAAAATGAAACAAAGTTTCATTTTGGACCCTTTGGACCTCATGTAAACCAATTCAAAAACAGGGACCAAAATCTAAAATCTAAAATCTAAATACAAGGTTAGATTCAGCATATAAAAGAACCCCAAGAATTCAAGACTTTGAATTAAACCACATTGAAATTGGTCAAGAAATACTTGTAAGCAATTTATACAAAGTATTAGAAAAGTATTGTTTTCGCCCCTTTTTCCTAAACGGTTAGGGCCACAACACCCAAAATCAATCCCAACCTTCCTTTTGAGGTATGGAACCTTGAGTCAGCAGAGTTGTAATTTATTTTGGTAGTTATGTTTTTTCATTAAGCTGTGACACAATAAGTAAATTTCATAATTTAATCATTTGTGTATTATTCCAGTCAACTTTGGTTCAAATTGAATGAGCTGCTTCAGTGAAGAACATGGAAATTAAGTGGCATTTTGTCCCCTTTTATGTCAACCTGAGATCTACATCATTCCTTTAATGTTTGAACAGATTTTTTGGTAGATTCAGATCTGCAGATAAGCTTTTTTTTCCCTAATTGTATACAAGAGTGTTAATGCTGAAATGTCATGCCTGCTTTACTGACCAAGATTGATTTAATTTTGAAAGTCTTAAAAATAAGGGTTTTACTACATAGTAAAAGTACTTATAGTATCAAAGAAACAAACCAAACAGTGAAAACTTGACATTGACCAATGAACCATGAAAATCAAGTCAAGGTCTGATGATATATAAGACAGACAGACATGTACACCTTACAACCATTCCTTGCACCAAATATATAGTTAAACTCTTGCTTATTATATCTAAGAAACTAAATTTTACAGTAATATTGTACTGAAAGTGCGGAAATCACTATGTGATCCGTGAAAACTCATCTAACTTTTAAACAAACTTATTAGTAAAGGTTATGTTATTAATGTTGTAATAAGATCTTTGAATATTGTTTACATTGGCACAAATATCGATTTTGTCATTAACAAATTAAAACATAACTAAATTTGTATTCTTTTCAAATGTTTTTTTGGATGTATAAATACACATCCACGTTCATTTTCTATATAGAGATTGCTTTATCTATATATAACATTATACATATTCATTATAAGGTTAAATCCAAACTATCCTACTGCCTGTCGATACTTTTATTTTGGCATTGCACAAGTCATGTCTTCTTTGACTGTCCATGGCATTAAAACACTAAATCCCTGGGATGTGTTTTAGTTGATTTTAGTCTCTGATGCATGATGTTTCATTATTAATTGTTTTTGGCTTTTAACTAGCTTTCAGTAACTTCGAGTATTCTCAAATCGTACTTTCGTGTTAATTTGACCTGTTACACAATTTGCAATGCATTTTTGTTATTCAATGTTTACTTATTTTGTGTTATATCTCGTTTCACTATTTTTAATATGTACCACCTTTGATAAGTATTTAGTATGACGATAAATTTTCACTGCGGCTCTCGTACTATGAACAACAAATTTATTTATTTTGTAAAAAATATCTCCATACTCCTAACAACAAAATTATTATATTCAAATTTACCTGTGTATGTTATTTTATTTAATGCCATTTTGTCCAAGGTTATAGTCGTCTTTTAGACATTGTGTCATAGATCAAATTTATTTGTTCAGTGTATGTTTACTTATTTTTGTTAATATATCTTTTTGATTGAGTTAAGCCATTTCAATTGATATTTTATAGTGTGTCTTTCTATGTTGTAATGTTACACTACTATTTCCAGTTAGGGTGAAGGTTGGCACCTGTTTAAACCCTATGCATTTGTTTGCACCTGTCCTAAGTCAGGAACCTGTTTCAGTGGTTGTCGTTTGTTGATGTGGTTCTTAAGTGTTTCCTGTTTCTCGTTTTTTATATTAAGTCCGTTGGTTTTCCTGTTTGATTTGTTATACACTAGTCATTTTGGGGCACTTTATAGCTTGCTGTTTGGTGTAAGCCAAGGCTCTGTGTTGAAGGCCATACTTTGACCTATAATTGTTTACTTTTTACACATTGTGACTTGGATGGAGAGTTGTCTCATTGGCACTCATACCACATCTTCTTATTTCTATCAAGGTGGTCAAGGTCAAATGAAATATGTCAGACACCTTAACTTCTGTGACTTTTGTCCCAGGCAAGACAACAACAAGGAATTCATTAATTGTAAGTTTCATTGCCACTTTGTTAAAATGAACTAGAATAAACAAGAATCAGACAAGGCACATTTCAAAGTAGAAATCTGCCTCCTAATATTAATGATAATTTCTGAGATTGCCAGCATATGGACAGAAAGGCAAAAAACAACTTTCACTTTACATTTTTTTTACTATAAATATTGATTATACAACTATTTCCTTCATATCAAACAAAATAAAAAAGTTACAACATTGCCACTTGATTATCTGCATCCTCCTCCTCAACATCAGGAATCTTCCACTGAATTTTCCTGCCATATTCATACATTTCCTTAATCTTAGCTCTAACATTGTCTGACCCTTCTGCTGCAAACTCCTTGTACTTCTTGTGTAGCTGAATTGCTGTCCTGGCATCTTCAACTGAGTCATGGGTTGCTGACTGAATATTTATTTCTATAAATGAGAAAATTATAGTTCTTAAATGTTTCAAGTTTAAAAATTCTCAAAAAAAAGGGTTGAGATTAAAATTATCTTAATTGTCAACAGGTCACTAATTGCACTAAAGGAAAACATTTTAATATCTTTAAGAAAGATAAACTAGATTAAAGACTGAAGCTACATGTACCAATGTGCTTTAAAAATGTTGGTCCTTATCTGTTTGGATTTTATACAACCAAACTCATGTAAATGTTAAATAGTTTTCTTCCAGCTGGTCAATTACCTTTTAACATTATCATGAAAATTTAAAATAAAAGAATGGTGTCTAAGGACCGGAATGCCCCAACTCAAGCTTGCATATAATACACAGTTGGTTGTCTCTTTTTTTTTACATATATACTTCAATATGTAAAAAAAAAATATATACAACAGCGACTTTGAACATCCTCAGATATAACATTCAAAACTATTCAAACGGAAAACTGACCGTCTGTTAAAATTATCATCTTGCGATGATTTTTATCTGAGGATGTTGCGTAATCACTCAGCTGATTTGTTTTATTTTTATTTATTATGAGTCGATCAAATTGTACTATTTGGTAGGTTAAGGGTGGGAATTAACGATAGATTTATTATATTCATTGAATAAAAATTAAAATATGAAAGGTAGAAAGACAGCTGATGGATAATGTGATTGCAAACATACGACACTCGACTAGCTGTGATCAGCAGTGGATTTTTTTTTCACGACCATTTCATTGATAGGGAAGATATCTTTAAACTAGAGGCTCTCAAGAGCCTGTGTCGCTCACCTGTATTTACTGATGCTTTGGAAATCATGTAAAATAAGGTTAAAATCATAATTAATAGTATTAGATATTAGATATTATAATGATATCTAAGATAACAAAAAACTGCAAAATTTCTGAAAAATTACTAACTCAGGGGCAGCAACCCAACAACGGGTAGTCGGATTCGTCTGAAAATTTCAGGGCAGATAAATCTAAATCTGATGAACATTTTTGCCACTTGTCAGATTTGCTCTAAATGCTTTAGTTTCAGAGATATAAACCAAAAACTGCATTTTACCCCTATGTTCTATTTTTAACCAAGTCGTCCATGATGGTTGGAAGGCGGGGTCATCAGACAAATTTTTTAAGCTAGATACCCTAATAATGATTATGGCCAAGTATGGTTAAATTTGTCTCAGTAGTTTAAGAGAAGAAGATTTTTGTAAAAGATTACAAAAATAACGAAAAATTGTTAAAAATTGACTATAAAGGGCAATAACTCCTAAAGGGGTCAACTGACCATTTTGGTCATGACGACTTATTTGTAGATCTTACTTTGCTGAACATTATTGCTGTTTACAGTTTATCTCTATCTATAATAATATTCAAGATAATAACCAATAAAATGCTTCGCTGGGCGCAGCTTGATACGACCGCAGAGGTCGAACCCTGAACAGTTGGGGCAAGTATGGACACAACATTCAAGCTTGATACAGCTCTGAATTTGGATTGTGATTAAATATTTGACACAGCATAGGTTTCTGACACAGAAACAATGTGGTCTAAGAACTTCAATTTTTTTAATTTACCTATTATGGTCCAATGTCCAAAATAAAAATACATGGTTAGATTCAGCATATCAAAGAACCCCGTATATTCAATTTTTGTTGAAATCAAACAAAGTTTAATTTTGGACCCCAACTTGGACAAACTTGAAAACTGGGCCCATAATCAAAAATCTAAACACATGTTTAGATTCAGCATATCAAAGAACCCAAAGAATTCAATTTTTGTTAAAATCAAACTAAGTTTAATTTTGGACCCTTTGGACCTTAATGTAGACCAATTTAAAAAACGGGACCCAAAATTAAAAATCTAAAAACACGGTTAGATTTGGCATATCAAAGAACCCCAATAATTCAATTTTTGATGAAATCAAACAAAGTTTAATTTTGGACCCTTTTGACCTCAATATGAACCAATTTGATAGCGGGCCCACAAATAAAAAATCTAAATACATGGTAAGATTCAGCATATCAAAGAACCCCATATATTCAATTTTTGTTGAAATCAAACAAAGTTTAATTTTGGACCCCAATTTGGACCAACTTGAAAACTGGGCCAAAAATCTAAAATCTAAATACATGTTTAGATTCAGCATATCAAAGAACCCCATATATTCAATTTTTGTTGAAATCAAACAAAGTTTAATTTTGGACCCCAACTTGGACCAACTTGAAAACTAGGCCCATAATCAAAAATCTAAACACATGTTTAGATTCAGCATATCAAAGAACCCCAAAAATTCAAATTTTGTTAAAATCAAACTAAGTTTAACTTTGGACCCTTTGGACCTTAATGTAGACCAATTTAAATAAACTGCTTCGCTGAGCGCAGCTGGATACGCCCGCAAAGGTCTAAATCTGAACAGTAGGGGCAAAAATGGACACAATATTCAAGCTTGATACAGGTCTGAATTTGGATTGTAATTAAATATTTGACATACATCTATTATAGGTTTCTGAATAAATGTAGTCAAAGAACTTGTTGGTTATATGAATTGAATTTATATTCAATTAAAGATTTCTTGCTGTTGTGCAATACACTGTGCTGTTGCGCAATACTTAGTAAATCTGTTGTCAGACTATAAACAAATAAAATTTATAAAATTCTAAAGGGAGCTTACATCAATAGATATAAACAGTTCACCAAAGTTTCATATGAATTGCTGAAAGCATTTTAGAGTTTTTGTCTGAAAACTGCAAAATCCCCCCTTTTTTAATGAATAAACCCCATAATTCGGAAATGTAAAATCTAAAATTTATAAAATTCTAAAGGGAGCTTACATCAATAGATATCAACAATTCATCAAAGTTTCATGAGAACTGCTGAAAGCATTTTTGAGTTATTGTCCGAAAACTGGAAAATCCCCCTTTTTTTTATGAAAAAACCCCATAACTCGGAAACGTAAAATCTAAAATTTATAAAAATCCAAAGGGAGCTCATGTCAATAGATATAAACAATAAACCAAAATTTCTTGCAAGTTGGTGAAAGCATTCTTGAGTTATTGTCCGAAAACTGGAAAATCCCCCTTTTTTAATGAATAAAACCCCATAACGCGGAAACGTAAAATTTAAAATTAATAAAAAAAGAAAGGGAGCTCACGTCAATAGATATAAACAATTCACCAAAGTTTTAAGCAAATTGGTTAAAGCGTTTTTGAGTTAATGTCCGACATGTTGACGACGGACGGACGGACAGACGGACGTACAACGGTATACCATAATACGTCCCGTAAACGGGCGTATAAAAACGGGACCCAAAATTAAAAATCTAAATACACGGTTAGATTTGGCATATCAAAGAACCCCAATAATTAAATTTTTGATGAAATCAAACAAAGTTTAATTTTGGACCCTTTTGACCTCAATATGAACCAATTTGATAGCGGGCCCACAAATAAAAAATCTAAATACATGGTAAGATTCAGCATATCAAAGAACCCCATATATTCAATTTTTGTTGAAATCAAACAAAGTTTAATTTTGGACCCCAGTTTGGACCAACTTGAAAACTGGGCCAAAAATCTAAAATCTAAATACATGTTTAGATTCAGCATATCAAAGAACCCCATATATTCAATTTTTGTTGAAATCAAACAAAGTTTAATTTTGGACCCCAACTTGGACCAACTTGAAAACTGGGCCCATTATCAAAAATCTAAACACATGTTTAGATTCAGCATATCAAAGAACCCCAAGAATTCAATTTTTGTTAAAATCAAACTAAGTTTAATTTTGGACCCATTGGACCTTAATGTAGACCAATTTAAAAAACGGGACCCAAAATTAAAAATATAAATACACGTTTAGATTTGGCATATCAAAGAACTCCAATAATTCAATTTTTGATGAAATCAAACAAAGTTTAATTTTGGACCCTTTTGACCTCAATATGAACCAATTTGATAGCGGGGTCCACAAATAAAAAATCTAAATACATGGTTAGATTCAGCATATCAAAGAACCCCATATATTCAATTTTTGTTGAAATCAAACAAAGTTTAATTTTGGACCCCAATTTGGACCAACTTGAAAACTGGGCCAAAAATCTAAATACATGTTTAGATTCAGCATATCAAAGAACCCCATATATTCAATTTTTGTTAAAATCAAACAAATTTTAATTTTGGACCCTTTGGACCTTAATGTAGACCAATTTGAAAACTGGATCCAAAATTAAAAATCTAAATACACGGTTAGATTCGGCATAACAAATAAATAAATGTGGTCAAAGATTTTACAAATCTAATGCGCCATACTGTGCAATTACAGATTACTTCTTGAAATTTTTCAATATTTGAAATTTGAAAAAAAAATAATATTTGAAGAATAATTCTTTGTAATTTCTGAAATCTGAAATGAGAAAAAATTTACCCCCCACAATTTCTTTTTACCCCCCCCCCCTTTTTTTTCCCCAAACCATAATTACCCATTTAAATTTACCATAGTGCTAACTTAATCTATTTTATAATAGAATTTAAAATATAGTGTCAAATCTTTCATATGGATTTTTTTGTAAAAAAAAAAGATGCAACATTTGCAGATATTTTTACTGGTCTTCCTTTATAAATATGCATTTCTTTAAAGATAATTTAAAAGCAGTGTAAGGGAAGTAACCAAAACGTTGTATTTGGATTACCTCCCTTACACTGTTTTAAATTATCTTAATTGTTCATTAACCATTACTTTATACATAATTTAAAAGCAGTGTAAGGGAGATAATTTCAATGATGTATTTGATTTATCTCCCTTACACTGCTTTAAATTATGTTTTGTACTAAAGTATTTGTCCATTAACCAGGACAACCTTGTTTTTCCCCCTTTTTTGCCCCTATTTTTTAAACGGTTTGAGCCATAACCCCCCAAAGCAAATCCTAACCATCCCTTTGTGGTATGGAAACTTGTAGTATAATTTCAGAGAGATCCATACACCGTTCCACAGTTATTGTCTGGAAACTAGAAAATGCTTATTTTTGGCCCCTAATTCCTTAACTGTTGGTACCATAACCCCCAAAATCAATCCCCACCTTCCTTTTGTTGTATTGAACCTTATGGTAAAATTTCATAGAGATCCATTCACTTAAACTAAAGTTAGAGTGCGAAAACTAATGTGTCTTCGGACGACGACGACGACGACACCGGACGACGACGACGCCAACGTCATACCAATATATGACCACAAAAATTTTTTTGCGGTCGTATAAAAACTGCAAAATTTCCTTAAAATTACCAATTCAGGGGCAGCAACCCAACAACAGGTTGTCAGATTTGTCTGAAAATTTCAGGGCAGATAGATCTTGACCTGATAATCAGTTTTAGCCACGTCAGATTTACTCTAAATGCTTTGGTTTCAGAGATATAAGCCAAAATCTACATTTTACCCCTATGTTCTATTTTTAGCCATGGTGGCCATCTTGGTTGGTTGGCAGGGTCATCGGACACATTTTTTAAACTAGATACCCTAATGATAATTGTGGCCAAGTTTGATTAAATTTAGCCCAGTGGTTTCAGAGGAGAAGATTTTTGTAAAAAGCTAACGACATCGCACGACGACGACGACGGAGGACGACGGACGCCAAGTGATGAGAAAAGCTCACGTGGCCCTTCTGGCCAGGTGAGCTAAAAATGTGGATTATGTCCACATGTGGACACAGATGATGCCCCCGCTTGCATATCATATAGTTATAAAGGGACATAACTGAAGAACTGTAAAAGTGACGCTACCCAAATTTGAACTTGATTTGAGTTTTGTGGTAATAAGCATTGTGTGTCAGTCTCATAACATTTGGTTGAGGCTATCTTTAGTAGAGAACAGAAACTAAATATTCAGCAATTTTTCTATTTGTAAACACGCATAACTCTAGAACGGTTGTGTATAAGTTTTAAAATATTTGGTTGAGACAAATTCAAGTTAGAGAACGGAAACGAAAAATTCAGCAATTTTTATGTTTATAAAGGGACATAACTCAAGAATGATAAAAGTGACGCCACCAAATTTCGTACTTAATCTGTATTATGTAGTAATAAGCATTGTGTATAAGTTTCATAACATTTGGTTGAGGCAAACTAAAGTTAGAGAACGGAAACAAAAAAATTGTACATTATCTTAGTTTTGAGGTAATGAATATTGTGTATAGGTTTCATGATGTTTGGTTGGGGCAAACTTAAGTTACAGAATGGAAACTAAAAATTTTGCAATCTTTCGATTTATAAAGGGGCATAACTCAATAATGGTTAAAGTGACACTACCCAAATTCAACTTGATCTGTGTTTTATCAGTGTAAGGCAAAATTAAACATTGCATTGATTGTAGTTGATTCAACTATAATCATGGACAAAGGAAGATAACTCCAATTTTTAAAATTACTTGAATAATGACATTGATATTTTTAGAAATTACATTTAGTTAAGACAAACTCAAGTTAGAGAACGGAAACGAAAAATTCAGCATTTTTTTCATTTGTAAAGGGGCATAACCCTAGAACGGTAATCAAAGTGCTAGTAAGCACTGAATGGTAAAGATTGCTTTAATTTTTCAGTAGGAAGTAAAATTGAATATTGCATTGTATAAAGCATTGGTTGTAGTTGATTCAACTACCATTATGTACAAAGAAAGATAACTCCAATTTTCAAAGAAGACTTTAAAATATTTTTAGAAATGAAGGGTAAAAATTGCTTTAATCTATCAGTGGAAGGCAAAATTATTAAACATTGCATCGTATAAAGCATTGATTGTAGTTGATTCAACTACAATCATGGACAAAGGAAGATAACTCCAATTTTAATAAAATGCTCCCCTGGCGCAGCTTGATACGACCGCAGAGGTCGAACCCTGAACAGTTGGGGCAAGAATGGACACAACATTCAAGCTTGATACAGCTCTGAATTTGGATTGTGATTAAATATTTGACACAGCATAGGTTTCTGACACAGAATGAATGTGGTCTAAGAACTTGAAAAATTTTAATTTACCTATTCAAACCATATCATTATTATTTGCTTTTATATATAAATCAGAAATAACCAATTCAAAATGGATAATTTTAACGAAAAAAAAAAGGAAAAAAAGGAAAAAAAAATTCCCCCTCCCCCCCAAATTTTTTGAACCCCCTTATGATTCATCACCCCCAAACTCAATCCCAGCCTTCCCTTTGTGGTATGGTACTTTGCAGTACAATTTCAGAGAGATCCATACACTTGAACACAAGTTATTGTCTGGAAACTGTAAAAATGCTTGTTTTTTGGCCCTAAATTCCTAAACGTTTAGGACAATTACCCCCAAACTCAAACCCAGCTTTCCCTTAAAGCTTTGTGATATGGAACCTTGTAGTACAATTTCATAAAGATCCATACACTTACACACAAGTTATTGTCCTGAAACTAGAAAAATGCTTGTTTTTTGCCCCTTTTTGGCCCCTAATTCCTAAAATTTTGAGGCAATTACCCCTAAAATCAATCTCAGCCTTCCTTTTGTGGTATGGTACCTTGCAGTACAATTTCAGAGAGGTCCATACACTTGAACACAAGTTATTGTCTGGAAACTAGAAAAATGCTTATTTTTGGCCCCTTATTCCTAAACGTTTTGGGCAATTACCCCCAAACTCAATTCCAGCTTTCTCTTTGTGATATGGAACCTTGTAGTACAATTTCAGAAAGATCCATACACTTACACACAAGTTATTGTCCTGAAACTAGAAAAATGCTTGTTTTTTGCCCCTTTTTATGCCCCTAATTCCTAAAATTTTGAGCAATTACCCCCAAAATCAATCCCAGCATTCCCTTTGTGATATGGAACCTTGTGGTACAATGTCAGAGAGATCCATACACCAACACACAAGTTATGTCTGGAAGTTACAAAAATGCTTATTTTTGGCCCCTTTTTGGCCCCTAATTCCTTAACTGTTGTTACCATAACCCCAAAAATCAATCCCAAGCTTCTTTTTGTGGTATTGAACCTTATGGTAAAATTTCATAGAGATCCATTCACTTAAACTAAAGTTAGAGTGCGAAAACCAATGTGTCTACGGACGACGCCAACGTCATAGCAATATACGACCGCAAAATTTTTTGGGGTCGTTTAAAAATGACTTGATATTTAGAAAAAAAAAAAAAAAAAAATTTAACAATTTTTCCATTTGTAAAGGGCATAACTCTAGAACGGTAAAAGTGACGGCACCAAAATTCAAACTTGATCTGTATATTGTGGTAATAAGCATTATGTATAAGTTTCATAACATTTGGTTGAGGAAAACTTAAGTTAGAGAACGGAAACGAAAAATTTAACAATTTTTCCATTTGTAAAGGAGCATAACTCTAGAACGGTAAAAGTGACGCCACCAAAATTCAAACTTGATCTGTATTTAGTGGTAATAAGCATTGTGTATAAGTTTCATAACATTTGGTTGAGGCAAACTAAAGTTAGAGAGCGGAAACCAACTTTGGGTTCAGAGACAAATGCCTGTGTTATTATACATGAAAATACTTTTTGAAAGCATTTGATTTCACTACTAGTTTTTAAAGAGTTCTATTCACTATTGTTCTAGTCTTAGGTATTTTTGTGCAGTGTGTTATTTTCATATTTTCACTGTTTTGTTTTTATTTCTTATGTTATAAGTTTTCTGAGATGGCATAACTCTAGAACAGTAAGTGACTCACTGCCACAATTTAAAATTCTGTCTGCAAGTTTTGGTTCTTAGCATTGTGTATGAGTTTCATAAAATTTGCATGAGCCAAACTTAAGTTAAAGTGCGGAAATGATAAAATATTTGTAATTTTCCAAGTTATAGAGGGGCTCTAGAACGGAAAGTGACTTACTGCAAAAATTGGAACTCTGTGAGTTTTGGTTCTTAGAATTGTGTATGAATTTCATAAAATTTACATCAGGCAAACTTAAGTTAGAGAGCGGAAACAAAAAAAATCACAATTTTCCAAGTTATAAAGTGGCATAAACAATATATTTAATATAACACAAGGTACCTAAGTAACCTGACTCATATTCTTGAGAAATGACACCTGGTCGTGAATTTCCTTTATATTTCGATTTCCCTGTTGTCTATCCCACTGAGATTAAGATTTCCATTCCGATGTGAGAGTAGAAATAATTTATGGATAATCTACTTGGAAGGACTGCTATAATTTATGATTCTGACAACAGAAATAGGTGTGTTATACACCATTTTATAGATAATTTAATGAAGATTTACACCATTACAAGTTTCAGAGGGATAGACAACTGCGGAATCAAAATATAACGGAAGTTTGCGACCAGATATCATTTCTCAAAAATACGAGTCAGGTACCTTGTGTTAAAGTAAACACAAAATTCCTCAAACAATTTACCAAAGAATGTCTTTTAAAAAATGAGTTATCTCCCTTTGTACAGATATATGGTTTATAAACATAGTACTCTAACATTAGTTATGGAGTTTTTTTATGGACCATAACTCTGGACTAAATCATCAGACCTATTAAATTCGAACTTGATCTATAACTTGTCATGATAAAACTATATACCAAATATCAAATCAATATCTTCAAGAACGAAGAAAAAAAGTGTGGAAAACTGAGTTGCCAAACTGACGGATGGACAGACGGACAGATGGACAGACGAACAGAGTGCAAACCTAAAGTCCCCTTCGACTTCGTCGGTAGGGGACTAAAAAGGGGACTAGGTACCAACAGAACAAGCTTTACTTCACATTATTGAATTGAACAATGTAATACTCACTTAAGAAATACCATGCTAAGAATTTAAGGGAGATCATTCTTTGTCGTGGTAAATGGAATAACTCCACTGTGTCAACTACCTGATTCTTTGGTACCTGCATTGAAAAAATATATACATGAAAATTTCCTCTTAAGGTAGCACAATACAAAGATTTATTCACCCCCAATCATACAACTTTAAACTGATGTAATTTCTTTCATCCAGCTCTAAAATTTTAAATGAGGAACCTAAAGAAAGAAGAAAGATTAATCTTTCAAATTGTGATAATTTCATTATTACATACCGAGTAATTGATTATTATGTAACTAGTTGCTAGATTGTGATGTCAACATTCGAATAATTACATTAGATGTATGTTTCATTATTATATGTTATTTTGATTGGCTAACAGCAATCTCGCGTCATTCATCATTTCAAAATGAATTGCATGAATTGAAACATACATGATGACACACGTTTCCACAATAAAATGCACAGGTAAATAAAAGAAAAACTTGATAGTAATCGTGTTAATTCATGATCATAGTGAAAAAATGTAATTATAAGTATTGAATGCTTCTTTTGGTAATTTCATAGGGTTGTAAAAGCATTGACCGTGCGTACATTTTTAGAATGAAGCACTTCCGCGCTTCATACAAAATGTACTTCGGTCAACGCTTTTACACCCCAATGAATTTACATAAAGAAGCATTCAATTCTTAAATGAAATTAGCTTCTTTGTTATTCATAGCATCCCAAAATTTTTGATAGATTCTTGAGCAACACAGTTTGACCTCCAAAACTGTGTCTCAGATTTTTTCCTTTTGTATTTCATTCTCTCATAAACCTTCAATTAAGTTTGCAACCTTAATTCATAAGAAATCACTAAATTTAATTTGGTATAAAATTTGTTCTATTGATGTTCTTGGAAATCTGAGACACTATTTTGAAGATAACTGGTCAAGGAACAACATGTGCTAAAATCGTGCATATAGGGGCACCCATTTAGGAGCTAATTTCATTTAAAACTACATTTTCATGGCAAAAATGTATGTGTCACAATTGAATAAATCAGGATTTTCCTACTTGAACCTCATTAACTTTTTAATATAATTCACAAATGTACCATGTGGATACTTCAGGATTGGCCTTTAATCATAAATCAGTTAGGTTTTGACCAGTAGCATTCCATTTCAGAAATTCTAACTATATAAAGAAAATGCACGCACTGTGCATCAAAATTCAGACCTGGCGGGAGAAGTTATATCATTATTGACCTTGATGTAAGTCAGTTGCTACTGATATGGTCAAAACTCCACCCACCTGGATAAACATCAACTATTAATGATCTCAGAAGTTTAATTCCATTTCTGAAATATGGTACATAGCTGTCACGTGAGATGAACAGCCTCGTCATGATGTCAGAACATGCTCGTCAATTATATTGTTAACATGTCTTAAATTTTGTCTTGAAGAACTCATGGATCCAAACTTTTATTTATTTCGAAGTTTTGGTGTTTCTGAAATAAGATTAACGTGAAATCAGGGTTTTCAGTATGTAACCAAGTAAGTGCAAGTTATATAACTTTGTGAACAATCGCATCGCAGCCTGATGATGATCCCGAAAGTGGGACAAAAGACTTTTCTGATGATGACCATGACCCTAACAATAGCCAGCAATCTGGAAAGGGTGTTAATATTCTAAGAATACCCATAGACTTAAGGGATTCTCAACATGTACAAACTCATGAATCTAATGATGATGATGATATGTCATCGATGTCGATTGACACTTTAATTCGCCTGCAACATAAGCAGATGCAATATATGCAAAAACTAACCAAACATTTAGGTTCTAAATCAGAAAGTGTGTTGGACAATACAAACAAATACACAACTGGTGCATCACACAATAGCACATGTGGAACGAAAAGATCCCGTAACGATGACGACGGGGAAGAAAACAGTTTAAGTAAACACTTAAAGTGGGAGATGATTCACAACATGAAACTGAATAGATTGATGAATTAGATAAACTTGTATGTAGGTTTGAAAACACTGAGAGCGATATCCATGAAAAATCTGACATCACTGATGACGAGGATCTTAACGAGGTCAATGAATAAATGGATGAAATGACTGAATTTTATAATGATTCGGAAGAAACTAGTGCAGCTATTGAAGAAAGCTTAGCAAAATCGGTTAATACTTCTCTTAGATCAAAGATACCTGATTCAAAATTCAAAGAAATAAAATCAAAATACAAAAGACAAGAAAACTGTCAAAATCTAATGATCCCTTCAGTAAATGAAAAAGTTTGGACAGAAAAACACTCCATGATCAATGCTATCAGATCATGTGATCTTAAACTACAGAAAATAATGGGGTACGTCATCCAAGGAATGATACCAGCAATAGAAACGACAAATGATATCTTAAAAGCTGCCTTGAAGAAAAACACTTCTGAGCCAACAAAAAACCTAAGGAAAATGACAGATGGTATCGGAATGTTCACAGCTTCTTATACCCATTTGAACCAATACAGGAAAGAAAATTTCAAACCAATTATGGTTGGAAAGTTTAAGAAACTAACTTATACAAACAACTCCGTTTCTGATAAATTGTTAGGGGATGATTTACAGAAGAAAATTGAAGATATTCAAAAATCAAAGAAAATATCTGTAAAAACCATCAACAAGTGGCTATAACTATAATCACAATTCTGCTGTTCAAGGCTACAATAACAATAAAACTGGAAATGGCAAAAGTCGTATTTTAGACCAGCAAAAGTCCTTCCAGAAAAAACGAGGAAGAGGGGGGAGACAGTTCCACAAACCGAACAATAGTTAGTTCCACAAGTTAGTCAGATTAAACAATTAAATAAGAGAAGTGAATGTGAATTTTCAAATCTTGTTAATACTCCTGAAAACTTTAGAGCTGGTAAAGTAACATACAATTTTGAAAGTTGGAAATCAATAACGAGTGATAAATCAATTCTAGAAATGTTGACTGGTTATCTGTTATAATTTCACACCTTACCACCAGGTCGTAATAGTTGTAATAATCCTTCGTTTAATGAAGATGAAATAAACTAATAAAGAAGGGGGTGGGGGTGACCCCTATGGACTTCCCCTATATTTCATTTGATTTGTATTATTGTCCCATACAAGAATATATATGGTTTAGGGGTGGGGATCTCGACCGTTTACAAGTTCTTAATCAGGAGGGGGTGGGGGTGACCCCAGGGGACTCGCCTTATATTTCATTTGATTTGTTTTATTGTCCCATACAAGAAGATATATGGTTTCGGGGTGGGGATCTTGACCGTTTACAAGTTTTCAAAAAGAAGGGGGGGTGGGGATCTTGACCGTTTACAAGTTTTCAAAAAGAAGGGGGGGTGGGGGTGAACCAGGGGACTCCCAAAATATTTGATTTGATTTGTTTTATTGTCCCATACAATAATATATATGGTTTAGGGGTGGGGATCTCAACCATTTACAAGATAAAAGCACATTCTCAAATTGAAGGGGGGTGGGGGTAAGAATATATATGGTTTAGGGAGACTTAATTATCTACAAAATGTCTAATAATGAGCAGTAAATTTCAAATTTCATTTATACAGTCCTACTAGTAAATTTCAAACTTTATATATACAGTCCTACAGATCTTATCAGGAAACAGAAAATTTTCAAATAAATCTGTCACTCCAATGATATTATATGCTAAGATACAACCCAGATCTAATTAATAATTAATAATGTAATAAACTTCAAAATGTCTAATAATATAGCTTATAATCATTACCACTTAGGAAATAGATAATTTTCAAATAAATCAGTCACTCCAATTTTTATTGTGAGATAAGACATTATGCTTAGTCATAAAAAAGATAACAAGAGTAAAATATTTAAAAATTCCACTTTTGGATATTAAAAATGGCGATAACTCACAAAGGAGGTACACTAAAATCTTGAAAATTGAACTAGACCTTCATTTAGTCCCAGGAAACAACATATTTAAATTTGAAAAAAATTAGTTTAAGCGTTTTCATGTTATTGTGATGACACTGTTTGGCAGCTGCCCGTACGCCCGCCCAGCCGCCCGCTGTACATCACCATTTTAATAACCGATATTTCCTTCGAAAATCCGGTTAAAAATCTAAATACACGGTTAGATTCGGCATATCAAAGAACACCAAGAATTCAATTTTTTATGAAATCAAACACAGATTAATTTTGGACCCTTTAGACCTTAATATGGACCAATTCAAAAACATGGACTCTAAAAATTAAATTTTTGTTGAAACCAAACAAAGTTTAATTTTGGAACCTTAGGACCATAATATAAACCAATTTTAATACCAGCCCCAAAATTAATAAACTGCTTCGCCTAGCGCAGCTGGATACGACCGCATAGGTCCAACCCTGAACAGTTGGTGCAAAAATGGACACAATATTCAAGCTTGATACAGGTCTGAATTTTGATTGTAATTAAATATTTGACACATTAAAGGTTTCTGACACAGAATAAATGTAGTCAAAGAACTTGAAATTGGTTATATGATTTGAATTTATATTCAATTGAAGATTTCTTGCTTTTTTGCAATACACTGTGCTGTTGCGCAATACTTAGTAAATCTGTTTTCAGACAATATACAAAGAATTAGCAAAATAAATTGTGACCCCCAATTTTTTTTTTGAAAAATTGACAATTTCTTAAATCTTGAGGAAAAAAATTTGAACCCCCATAAATTTTTTTTCTACCCCCCCCACCCTTTTCCAAAAAAAAAAAATATTTGAAGAAATCTTCTTTTTAATTTCTTAAATCTTGAGGAAAACAAATTGCCCCCCCCCCCCTCTCCCCCTCTCATTCGAAAAAAATAACATTTGAAGAAATTTTCTATTTGTAAAGTGTGGTACACAAGTTATTGCCTGAAAATTAAATAAGAGTGCACACGCTGAAATGTCTCGCCTTCTTTACTAACCATTGATATTATGTTGATAGTCCTAAATGAAAGCTTTACTACAAGTATTACATAAACTTAACATGATCCAAGAAAATGAGGTCAAGGTCATATAAATCAAACGAGAAATACATGTACACCTTACAATCATTCAATACACTAAATATAGTTGACTATTGCTTATAGTTTCTAAGAAACAGACTTAACCAAGAAAACAAAACATTGACCAATGAATCGTGAAAATGAGGTCAAGGTCAGATGAACCATGCCAGGCAGACATAAACAGCTTACAATCCTTCCATACAACAAATATAGTTGACCTTATAGTTTAAGAAAAACAGACCGAAACACATAAACTTAACACTGAGCAATGAACCCTGAAAATGAGGTCAGGGTCAGGGTCAAATAAAATCTGGGAGACTGACATGTACATCATAAAATATTTCCATACACCAAATATAGTAGATTTATTGCATATAGTATAGAACAAGAGGCTCTCAAGAGCCTGAATCGCTCACCTGTAATTTTTTGCTTAAATCTTTCATCAATGATTATTTTTGCTTTTTAATATATATTAATGAGTGGCTTAAAAATTCCATTGATATGTTCTTTGTATCTGTCATATTTTCTTCAAAAGCAAAGAAATACATTTTACCCCTATGTTTCATTTTAGCCATAGTGGCTATGTTTCTTGACGTACAAGAAAATAAAATACAAAATTTATACTAGATACTCTGAAACTCATTCAGCCCAAGTTTGGCTGAAATTGATTCAGCAGTTTCAAAGGAGAAGATTTTTTAAAGTCAGCAAACTAGATGAACAAATTGTGAAAAATTGTCTTTAAAGGGCAATAACTCCTTAAGGACACATTTGACAATTTTGGTCATATTACCTTATTTGTAGATCTTACTTTGCAGAACATTTTTGCTGTTCACAGTTTATCTTTATCATTAATAATATTCAAGATAACCAAAAACTGCAAAATTCCTTAAAATTACCAATTTAGTGGCAGCAGCCCAACAATGGGTTATTAGATTCATCTGAAAATTTTAGGGCTGATAGAACTTCACCTAATGAACACTTTTACCCCTTGTAAGATTTGTTCTAACTCCTTTGGTTTTTAGATATAAGCCCAAAACTGCATTTTACCCCTTTGTTCTATTTTTAGCCATGGCGGCCATGTTTTTTGATGAAACAGAAAATAAAACACAAACTTTATTCTAGATAACCTAAGGATCACTCAGCTAAAGTTTGGTTGGAATTGGTTCAGTGGTTTCAGAGGAGAAGATTTTTTTTAAAGTTAGAAAACATGATAAACAAATTGTGTAAAATTGCCCTTAAAGGACAATAACTCTTTAAGGGGTCGATTGACAATTTAGGTCATATTAACTTATTTGTAGATCTTACTTTGCTGAACATATTTGCTGTTTACAGTTTATATTTATCATTAATACTATTCAAGATAACCAAAAACTGCAAAATTTCCTTAAAATTACCAATTTAGTGGCAACAACCCAACAATGGGTTATTAGATTCATCTGAAAATTTCAGGGCTGATAGATCTTTACCTTATGAACACTTTTACCCCATGTCAGATTTGCTCTAACTGCTTTGGTTTTTGAGATATAAGCCAATAAAATGCTCTGCTGGGCGCAGCTTGATACGACCACAGAGGTCGAACCCTGAACAGTTAGGGCAATAATGGACACAACATCCAAGCTTGATACAGCACAGAATTTGGATTGTGATTAAATATTTGACACAGCATAGGTTTCTGACACAGAATGAATGTCGTCTAAGAACTTAAAAATTTTTAATTTACCTATTCAAACCATATCATTATTAGTTGCTTTTATATATAAATTAAAAAAAAACCAATTTAAAATGGAAAATTTTAAAGAAATAAAAGGAAACCCCCCCCCCCCCAAATTTTTTGAGCCCCCTTATGATTCATCACCCCCAAACTCAATCCCAGCCTTCCCTTTATGGTATGGTACCTTGCAGTACAATTTCAGAGAGATCCATACACTTGAACACAAGTTATTGTCTGGAAACTAGAAAAATGCTTGTTTTTTGGCCCCTTTTTGGCCCCAAATTCCTAAACATTTAGGGCAATTACCAAGATCCATACACTTACACACAAGTCATTGTCCTGAAACTAGAAAAATGCTTGTTTTTTGCCCCTTTTTGGCCCCTAATTCCTAAAATTTTGAGGCAATTACCCCCAAAATCAATCCCAACCTTCCCTTTGTGGTATGGTACCTTGCAGTACAATTTCAGAGAGATCCATACACTTGAACACAAGTTATTGTCTGGAAACAAGAAAAATGCTTATTTTTGGCCCCTTAAGCTTATTCCTAAATGTTTTGGGCAATTACCCCCAAACTCAATTCCAGCTTTCCCTTTGTGATATAGAACCTTGTAGTACAATTTCAGAGAGATCAATACACTTACACACAAGTTATTGTCATGAAACTAGAAAAATGCTTGTTTTTTGCCCCTAATTCCTAAAATTTGGAGGCAATTACCCCCAAAATCAATCCCAGCATTCCCTTTGTGATATAGAACCTTGTGGTACAATGTCAGAGAGATCCATACACTAACACACAAGTAATGTCTGGAAGTTACAAAAATGCTTATTTTTGGCCCCTAATTCCTTAACTGTTGGTACCATAACCTCCAAAATCAATCCCAACCTTCCTTTCGTGGTATTGAACCTAATGGTAAAATTTCATAGAGATCCATTCACTTAAACTATAGTTAGAGTGCGAAAACCAATGTGTCTACGGACGACGACGACGCCAACGTCATACCAATATACGACCGCAAAATTTTTTTACAATTGTATAAAAACTGCATTTTACCCCTATGTTCTATTTTTAGCCATGGCGGCCATGTATTTTGACGAAATGGCACACCACCATCATTAAAATATCTTCCGCCATCGTCAAATGATCCCCGCCATTGTCAAAATTTGTTTTCATTTCACTAGCAGCCGCCATTTTTGTTAGCAATTATAATCAATTTCATGTAATCGCATTACCTGTATTGTGTTATAATCCAAAAAGTCCTTCTGATTAGTTTTAAAGCCCTGAGGGATATCCAGTTTTCCGCTAATCACTTGTACAGGTAGATCGACCCACCTGACAGGAGAACACTTGATCAAGATAGACGATTGATTGCATTATTTAATTACGTTTCAGCAAATTATGCTAATGAAAATTTAGATTAAAATTAATTTTAAATCCAGTTACGAAGAAAAAAGTTTAACAAGTCAAACACATGTTTTTATATTGACTTACACAATCAGCATCACCCTTTTTAAACGAGTAATAAATAAAATGTAAAACAGGACATAATTTCAAGCCAAATAGCACGAGAACAGCAATTATCAATAATATTGAATCACTTAACAAGTTTAAAAGTAAATACATGAATATTAACTGCAAATTGATAATCTGAAGAAATTTCATATCGTAATTCTGAATTCATTTCGTAGTTTACAATCAAATTAATACATCCGGTTTACATTCAGAATCGAAAGTTGCATGTTGCATAGTCTATTACTATGAAAGTTGCTATTTAAAGTCTTTAAAAACATTTAATTTGTAAACGGTTGCCCAACCAAATCTTTCTTTTACAAAACAGGTACGAAACTTCTTCTTGTTGATGCTGCAAATCGTCGATACCAGTTAATGACTTCTGAATTTGACAGTAAACACCCCCTCCTCCCTTCCCCCCAATTTTAAAGTCCTAAACATTTACCAAAATAGCAAGAAAACGACTTGGGAACCTTAAAGACTGCTTGTGGTCATTCTTGACTAAGGTGGAGCCATGCAGGCTTGACATTGGAATTGTTACAAATGACAATTAATGTAATTATTCGTTATAATGAAATAACTATAATAAGCAATATATCAATCTGTTCACCATTGCTTACATAGAAATGGAGGAATGATATACTTTCGATCACACCACACCGTAGACGCGGGGTTTTGACATGGTGAAAGTTCCTCCATCGTTAAATTCTCATCCATGGAGATCCCTGGTTATTGTCTCGAAACCAGAAAATCCTATTTTTTTACCCCTTTTTGACGTACAAAAAATTGGTCATGATTCAGGGTGACACCATCAAAATAATTAAAAATAATTGGGGAATGTGTCCATGGGACACATATAATGCCCCTGCTTGCATATAATGTTACAAAGGGACATTACTCAAGAACGGTAAAAGTGACTCTACACAAATCCGTACTTGAGTACTGAGTTTTGTGGTAATAAGCATTGTGTGTAAGTTTCATAACATTTGGTTGATGTAAACTTGTTGCAAAATGGAAACGAAAAAAATTCAGCAATTTTTCCATTTGTAAAGGGGCATAACTCTAGAACGGTAAAAGTGACGCCACCAAAATTCTAACTTGATCGGTGTTTTGTGGTAATAAGCATTATGTATAAGATTCATAACATTTGGTTGAGGCAAACTTAAGTTACAGAACGGAAATGAAAAATTCAGCAATTTTTCCATTTGGAAAGGGGCATAACTCTAGAAAGGTAAAAGTGACCCCACCCAAATTCAAACTTGATCTGTGTTTTGTGGTAATAAGCATTGTGTATAAGTTTCATATAACATTTAGTTGAGGCAAACTAAGGTTAGAGAACAGAAACCAATTTCGGGATGTACGGATGTATGGATGTACGGACAGACGTACAGACAGACAAGGGTAAAATTAATGCCCTCTCTGCTACCGTGGGGGCATAAAAATCACTCGTCATTAATACTCACATAAAGATTGATTACTCTGAAATCTTTTTTCAATCCATGACCAATAAATGTTACTCCAGACTGTACCAGATATCTCAACTTCAGGTATGTGGACTTAAGCGTTGTCAAGTACCGTGATGATACAGAAGGATCAAGATCACCAGGCTTTATACCAGAATACTGTGTCAAATAGTCCACAACCTGTAATTAAATTAGAATATTGGAATATAAAGCTATTGATTCATTCACCTAGGTCTGCAAAGTGAAAATCACATTACTGAAAATGTATTACCAGTAAAATTATATAATTCTGTAAAAGTCACATGACATTTCAAATATTTTTGAAATTCTACTTTGATCCTTTTAAATAAATAATGTTTTCTTAAGTTTGGCTTTCCAAACTTTTAATTTTAACATTGCTGATGCAAGTTACTGAGAAGCATGTATTGTGTGCATTGTGTACAGTTCACAGTAGTCAACACTTTTTTTTTTGTGTTGACATGCATGAAATATCATTGAAATTTTTATGAAGATTTATTCTTGTAACAAGAGTGCACTTGCTGAAATGTGTTGTCTGCTTTGCTATTCATGATTTATGTTATGTTGATAGTCCTAAAGATAAAGTTTTACTACAAGTATCTCATAAACTTAACATTATCAATTATCCATGAAAATGAGGTCACGGTCAGATAAACAAAGCTAGAGAGACAACTTACAATCATTATACATACATCAAATATAGTTGACATTTTGTGTATAGTATACAAGAAACAGACCATGACAAACATAGCATTGACCAATGAACCATGAAAATGATGTCAAGGTCAGATGAACCCTGCAGACAGACTTGTTCACCTTACAATCATTCCATATATCAAATACCATTGACCTTATTGCTTATAGTATCTGAGAAACAGACTAAACCAAGAAAACTTAAAATTGACCAATGAACCATGAAAATGAGTTCATGGTCAGATGTACCCTACAAGACAGACATGTACACCTTACAATCATTCCATACACCAATTATAGTTGACCTACTAATAATAGTACCTTACAAAAGGACCCTACTCCCGAAATTTAACATTGAACAATGAACCATGAAAATGAGGTCAAGGACAGATGATACCTGCAGACAGACATTTACACCTAACAATCATTCAATACACCAAATATAGTTGACCTATTGCTTATAGTATTAGAAACAAGAATGTGTCCATAGTAAACGGATGCCCCACTCGCACTATCATTTTCTATGTTCAGTGGACCGTGAAATTGGGGTCAAAACTCTAATTTGGCAATAAAATTAGAAAGATCATATCACTGGGAACATGTGTACTAAGTTTCAAGTTGATTGGACTTCAACTTCATCAAAAACTACCTTGACCAAAAACTTTAACCTGAAGCGGGACAGACGGACAGACTAAAGAACGGACGCACAGACCGAAAAACATAATGCCCCTAGGTGGAGCATAAAAAGCAAAGAAACATTGTATATCATACGTTAATAAATAGATATAAACTTTGTACAATCATGAGATGAGAGTATATATTGTCTCCGTAGTGTTATGTTGATAAACTAAGAGTAATCTCAGTGATAAATAAATATCATTGAAACCAGATGTGATATACTACAACTCTTTGAAACTGAATTTAAGTTTCATGTATCAATCCCATGTTATTAATCCTCACAATTGTATGTACCCCCCCCCCTCCCCCCCCCCCCCCCCCCCCCTGAATGAATAAGCGAAACTGTGGTTCTCCACCCTAACTAAACTACATGCAAGTAGTTGTCTGTGGAGCATACTAAACTAATTCAAACATACAAGCAATACAAAGTGAAACAAAATATAGACATTTAAAATAAATGAAAACAAGAACAATATACATACATGTAATGCAAACAATATATAATTAGGGTGTGGTGGGTGGGAAAAGAAAAAGCATATTTTGCAAACGAAGTTAATTTGATGCTGGCTGTTGCAAGCCAAAATTTTGAATGCCAGATAGATGCTGAGACCCAAACGGAGTCTGGGGATTCGACCTTTTCGATTGGCTCCTGTATTACCGCGAAATTTAAATAATGAAAACTGATTGGCTGATTACAATTCCCAGACATGACAAATTTGAAATTCTCGGCAATCTGATTGGTTGCTAAGATATACAGGCCCAACAAATCAGAAACGAGGTGCAGGAAATAAGCAATATTCTAAATACCAAACTATGCAACACTATTTAGATTAATAATGTATTTACAATAAAATATTCCCAAAAACATAATAGTTTAGGGATATCAGTTATGTTGATAAGAAGTGAAACCTGATCGATCAATGATGTAACAAAACTAGTGATATTATTCAAAAGGTAGATAATTTTGTATAATTACGTCCGTCATATTAATTGTTATACAAGGAACAAGCATACAATTCTTAAGATTCATCCACGTGCATAGTAGGTACTAAGATGACCCATGTTACCTAGGTACATGTACCTGTTCGTTATATTTATGATTTTTAACTGATATATATTTCTCAAGACAAAACATGCTGATTACAAATAAATGTTCCTAAAAAATTATTTTCATGAAATTTCAGATAATCTTTATATATATGAAGCGATAAAAAATTCCTTTTTGCACTCACAGTAAAGCGTGTTTAAAAGCACACTCAGATACTGCCATAACATTACTTTGGTTTCCCTCAAGGTCATCAGAGTAAAATTATATCAAACAGCCTAGGTGTCGGTACATGAAATATTTTCAGATAACTCCTTCTATCCACTTCAATGAAAGACATTTATTGTGTAATGTAAATAATCATATGAACCTGTCTATAGGTAACACTTAATAAGCCCCTGAATTTATACCTTTTATTTTTTAAAGCTTATTAAAGGAGACACTACTAGATACAACTCAGATTCACCATGGTTTAGGACTTACTTTTTTCATCAAAGAAAATTCCACCTCTCTATTTGATGTATCAATAGGTGTCTGCCTTTCATCAACATTTAGTACCTACAGTATGGACATGAAACAAGCATCATGACTTACCTGTTCTTGTGTAGAGATGTAATCATCTATAAATGGTTCTCCAACCTGGTCACCTTGTCTAAAATACAAATTCAACAAGCATTCTGTGAGTACTGCATGGCAATACATAGTCCCCTACTGGTTAAAATTTCATTGTTATGGAGCAAACCTACCACTAAATTCTTCAAACAATTTATTAAAGAAAAGGAAAAAAATCCAAAATGTCATTTATCTTAATACAATGTCTTTTACAAATCTTTAAAAAAAAATGAGTTATTTCCCTTTGAACAGAAATCTAGTAATTAATAAGTATTTCATCAAAATTTTAATTCTAGGCAAAGTTAAAAAATGAGTTAATTCCCTTTGAACAGAAATGTAGTAATTAATAAGTATTTCATCAAAAATTTAATTCTAGGGAAAGGGCTTTAACTGAACAAGGAGAAAAGCTAAAATCGTGAAAATAGAACTTGACCTGTAACTTGTCATGATAAAACAATACACCAAATATCAAATCAATATCTTCAAGCATGAAGAAAAAGAGTCTGGAAAACTGATTTGCCGGACTGACGGACGGACGGACAGAGAGAGTGCAAACCTAAAGTCCCCTTGGACTTCATCGGTAGAGGACTATTAACCTTATTAAATGAGGAAGCATATATCTCCCACACCCCTTGTTTCATAAGAGAACTTGAATAATACAGTGTGATTGTAAATATTGCTAACATTTCTACAAGTCTCAAAACTTATGAAACTTATGGCTGAATATGTTGTATAATCTATGACATAAAGAAGGCCTTACTTCATGTACCAAGCTTGTTTGATTATTCCACATTGGCTAGAGGTATAGGGGAGGGTTATGATCTTAAAAAACAATGTTTTACCTCGCCACATTTATGCACCTATCCCAAGCGAGGAACCTCTAGCATTTGTTAGTTTTGTGTATTATTTTTTAAATTTTGGTTCATTTGTATGTTTCGCAGTTAGTGAGGCGTCCATTTCACTGAACTAGTATACATTGTTGTTTAGAGGCCAGTAGAAGCCTTCCTCAGGGTGCATTGAAGACCCATTGGTGGCCATGGGCTGTTATTTGCTCTTTGGTTGGCTTGATGTCTCTCTGACACATTCCCCGTTTCCATTCTCTATTCTATTAATAAAATGCTCAACAGGGCTACTTGATATGACCAGTGGGGGCAAGTATGGACACAACATTCATGCTTGATACAGTTCTGAATTTGGATTGTGATAAAATATTTGACACTGCATAGGTTTCTGACACAGAATGAATGTGGTCCAAGAACTTAAAAATTTGAAATTGGTCATTTACCTTTCATGACTCAATATCCAAAATCTATATACGCATATCAAAGAACCCCAAGAATTCAATTTTTGATGAAATCAAAAACAAAGTTTAACCTTGGACCCTTTGGACCTCAATGTGGACCATTTTGATTACAGGGCCCAAAATCCAAAATCCAAATACACGGTTAGATTCAGCATATCAAAGAACCCCATATATTCAATTTTTCTTCAAATAAAACACATTTTTAATATTTTGGCATTGATTTGGACCAACTTGAAAACTGGGCCTGAAATCAAAAGCTTTATACATGTTTAGATTCAGCATATCAAAGAACCCCAAGGATTCCTTTTTTGTTAAAATCAAACTAGTTTAATTTTGGACCCTTTGGACCTTTATGTGGACCAATTTGAAAACCGGGCCCAAATCACAACTCTAAATACACAGTTAGATTCAGCATATCAAAGAACCCAAGAATTCAATTTTTGTTAAAATAAAACAAAGTTCAATTTAGGACCCTTTGGACCACAATGTAGACCAATTTAAAAACAGGACCCAATATCCAAAATCGAAATACACCGTAAATAAAGGCAACAGTAGTATACCATTGTTCAATAGTCATAATTCAATTAAGCAAAAACAAATCCGGTTAACAAACCAAAACCGAGGGAAACACATCAACTATAAGAGGAAAACAACAGAACAACAGAAACACTGAACTACAACAAAAGCAAACGCCAACATACATAGAAACGGACTGTCTGATAACAACTGCCATATTCCTGACTTGGTACAGGACATTTTAAGAAAAAACGGTGGGTTGAACCTGGTTTTATGGCTAGCCAATCCTCCCACTTATCTGGCAGTGTTAAAAATACCACTAAAATGACAACACTAAGATTCAGCATATTGAAAACCCCAAGAATTCAAGACTTTGAAATAAACAGCATTGAAATTGATAAAAAATTAAGCAATTTATACGAAGTATTAGAAAAGTATTGTTTTTGGCCCCTTATTCCTAAACGGTTAGGGCCATAACCACCAAAATCAATCCAAACTTTCTTTTTGGTATGGAACCTTGTGGTACAATTTCATAGAGATCCATAGACTTATACTCAAGTCATTGTCTGGAAACCAAAAAATCCTTGTTTTTTTACCCCTAATTCCAAAACGGTTTGGGCCATAACCAAAAAATCAATCCCAACCTTCCTTTCGAGGTATGGAACCTTGTGGTACAATTTCATAGAGATCCATACACTTATACACAAGTTATTGTCTGGAAACCAGAAAAATGTTTCAATTTTGCCCCTAGTTCCTAAACAGTTAGGACATAACCCCAAAAATCTATCCCAACCTTCCTTTTGTTGTATGAAACCTTGTGGTACAATTTCATAGAGATCCATTCACTTATACATTCTTAAGTTATTGTCTGGAAACCAATGTCTTCTGAAGACAACGACGACATTGCCATCCCATTATATGGTCGCAAATTTTTGCGGTCTTTAAAAAGGGACATTGCAATCACATACATTGATTGATTGATTGGTGTTTATTGCCACTTTCACCACTATTTTGGTATTTCGTGGTGGTCAGCTTTTAATGGTGGCGGAAGCCAGAGTGCCAGGAGAGAATCTTCATAAATAAGCAAATTAGAAACTGACCTAATGTTCAGTAATGTGAAAGTTGAAATTAACTTTTTTACCTGTTTTACAAGCGTCTGCACTGAATGTGTAGATAAACAGCTGTTACAACACATTATTTTAAAATTCAAATTCCAAAAATTAAAGATTCTCCATGCAAAATCCAACATTTTCAGATAAATAATAAGATTTTCTCCATCAATCTGTGTTTAGTGGACAATAATATTAAATCAAATTTCATGTCATTTGATTGATGCAAAATTCAGTTATTTGTAAATAGAAAAGTGAAATTTGGTTATTTTCTGCATGCTCAATAACAATATTTTTAAAAACAACAGAAGTGAAGATTCTCCAAAATTGAAAAATTCCTTTTTTTTCTATGATTATAACATTGTATTTAATGTAACAAGATATGCATACTAAAGAAAATGAACAAGAAATTCTTTAAAAGGGCAAACAAGTGTTAAGTTAAATACCTATGTTGCTTCAGTTAGAGGACATAATTCAAATATATTTTTTTTTATAATAAATGGAGAATGTGTCCATGGGACACAGTGATGCCCCCGCTTGCATATAACTTTATAAAGGGACATAACTCAAGAACAGTAAAAGTGGCACTACCCAAATTGGTACTTGATCTGAGCTTTGTGGCAATAAGCATTGTGTATAACTTTCGAGGCAAACTTAAGTTGGTGAACAAAAACAAATCAAAGTGCTGGATAGCACCTGTGGAAAGTTTGCAACAGTAGATGTGTATCATTTCAAATAGGCTGTAGATGTGTATTATTTCAAATAGGTTGTAGATGTGTATTCCTTCAAATTGGTTGTAGATGTGTATTATTTCAAATAGGTTGTAGATGTGTATTATTTCAATTATGTATTTAATCACAGCTTTGGTGTTTTTCCCTAAACCATTGTCTCATCAGCAATTATCAAAAATAACATTTTTCATATGTTTGTCATGTAAAATTTTGATAATTTCTATTGCAACCTTAAACTGTAGATTTAAAATGATCAAATATACAGAAAGCTCTGTTAAATTCTTTCTGTGCCCATCCCATGTTAAGGGCCTGTGTTTAAGTATTTTTTATTGATTAAGGTCCTTCATATTTGTTTTTAGTAAATTGTATTATTACTAATTGAGCAGTTGGTTTTCTTGTTTGAATTGTTATATATTGAACAAACTCGGACTACAATTAGTAGATTGTGTGGTTATCGGTTTTTTCCAACTTTTAAAATATTTTACTTAATACAAGAAATAATTGAAACAGGATGCTGTTACGAAGCCTCCCAAAGAAAGCTTCCATAATTAGTCATTCCCATGGTCACCTGACCAGTACAAATTGGTTTGGTCTAGTAATAAGTGACGCCTAGGTTTAACCTTGTATGTCATTCAAATCTTCTTGAAATCATGAACAGGAATAAATATGGTTTAGGGTGGGGATCTCGACCATTTACAAGTTCTCAAAAAAAAAAGGGGGGGGGGGGGGGGGGGGGGGGGTGTTGATTCTCAGGGGACTCTTTATTTCATTTGATTTGATTGATTGTCCTGTATTAGAATATATATGGTTTTGGGGTGGGGATCTCAGCCATTTACAAGATATCAAAAAGAAGGGAGGTGGGGGTGACCCCCATTAATTTTCCCTATATTTCATTTGATTTGTTTTATTGTCCCATACAAGAATGTATATGGTTAAGGGGTGGGGATCTCGACCGTTTACAAGTTCTCAAACAGGATGGGGCAGGGTGACCCCCAGGGACTCCCCTTATATTTCATTTGATTTGTTTTATTGTCCCATACAAGAATATATATGTTTCAAGGTGGGGATCTCAACTGTTTACAAGTTCTCAAACAGGAGGGGGTGGGGATGACCCAGAGGGACTTCCGCTATATTTCATTTGATTTGTTTTATCATCCCACACATGCATATATATGGTTTGGGGGTGGGGATATCGACCATTTACAAGTTCTCAAACAGGATGGGGTGGGGATGACCCCCAGGGACTCCCCCTATATTTCATTTGATTTGTATTATTGTCCCATACAAGAATATATATGGTTTAGGGGTGGGGATCTCGACCGTTTACAAGTTCTCAAACAGGAGGGGGTGGGGGGTTTCCCTAGGGACTTCCCCAATATTTCATTTGATTTGTTTTATTGTCCCATACAAGAATATATATGGTTTAGGTGTGGGGATCTCGACTGTTTACAAGATAAAAGCACATTCTCAAATTGAAAGGGGGTGGGTTGACCCCAGGGACTCAACCTATATTTTACTTGATTTGTTTTATTGTCCTGTGATCATTACTGAAGACTGTGTGTGTCTTTACTTACTGTTTTCAAGTTATAGTCATTTGAAAATTAAAAAAAATAAAATCCCATAGGGTTCTTAAGTAAATCCCTCCCTTCTGTATGCCCCTCAAAATACCCCAAAATAGACCCCAAGAAGAAAAATAATAAGAACTTAGCAAAAACAATAAGTCTCCAAACTTTGTTTGGGAGACTTAATAACAAATAGTATATACGAATTTTGTTATAGTCCGATTTTGTGAGGCCGATAATGTAATAGGCAGAGTTTGTTATAGTCCGAGTCTGTTATGGGCCGAGATGAGATACCAGGTTACTTTCGATACACTCGGGCTTTTACATCTTTAATAAACTTTTGTAAAAATCGTAGTAAAAATAGCGTCGAAAATGTTCATTCCTGAAATATTTTAAACAGAGTATTTATTTTCTCTTCAACCGGAGGACTGGAGGAAACCCCTGAAACTGGGATTATTGTACTCCAGTCAAAAGGTACACATATATGGATCTCACACATGTCTGGGGAATATCGATAAAAGCATAACGTAGAAACTGCTGTCTCGTGTTGATGTGTATTGATTTTAATTTCCGTGCAGCACAGATCAGCGAAGTAATATTTGTGATAGCCATTTTCAAAATGAAGTTGAATTCATTTGAATTATCGATGAACATTCAGTACATTTTAATTCAAGCTGTAAGCTAATCAAAATAGAAGTAACTCAAAATTTCAAAAGCATCTTCCTAGAACTAGTATTCAAACACTAGTACTACATTATCTAGGAGTACAAATAGTAAGATAGTCTGTCCAACTTCTGGTTTGAGGCCGATGCCTTAGGAAAGTATATTGCTATAGCAAGCTATAGCAAACTTTCCAAAAATTGGACATTTTTCTATTTGTAAAGGGGCATAACTCTAGAATGGTAAAAGTGACGCTACCCAAATTCAAACTTGATCTGTTTTTTGTGGTAATAAGCATTGTGTATAAGTTTCAAAATATTTGGTTGAGGCAAACTAAAGTTCGAGAATGGAAACCAATTTTGGGACATACGGACGGATGTATGTACAGACAGACAAGGGTAAAACTTAATGCCCCCTTCGCTACGGCGGGGGCATACAAATATCATTCTAACTCTCAAATTTTAACAACCAAAGTTATCCTCAAATAGCACCAAAACCAAACTTACCCTCTAAGACAAGTAATTCTAGCTGCTGTAAGGTGACTTGGTTTAATTGTAGACCTTGTACCATCGCTTCTCAACTCAGATTCTTCCTGAAGGTCATAAATATTACACATTCAATTCGAAACTTTTAAAATTAGGATGAAATTTGACGTTCACCTTATTCTACCTGTTCCTATATTACACAACCTGACTAATATTTGAACATGGCGTCAACATTGACTGGTAAGCAAATGAGAATAAACCCAATCAAGAAATTTGATTCAGAAGCAGAAAATACTTATGTACCAATATTTATATGCATGTTTTTTTATTTTATTTTCTAAGCAAAAACTTCTTTTTTTACCAATATCATTTAAAAGCCTACAAAGCAACTGGTGAGCATGTTTGGACAAATAGAGCAACAAAGCACATTGATGATTTTGATATATTAAATTTTTGCTAAAAGTTAAATGAGAACATGCTTTTTTCATACCAAAATATTTGAAAACATGATGATTTTTCTTTGCAATTATTAATTTTCTTTCCTTGATGATAATTTTCCACTGGCTACTTCCTATGGAGTGTACACTTCTGAGTTGGTTAATATTTATATATATATATATATATATATATGTATATATAATGGTTTACTTTTATAAATTGTTATTTGGATGGAGAGTTGTCTCATTGGCACATTTACATTTGATGTGATGTCTTTATTAGTATATATATAAGAACGCAACATTTTTGTTTCTAATTAAAACTTTTACAACAGGGATTTTAATGTCACAAATTAGTCAAAACCTAACTTGAATTTATCACTAGTAGAGGAATTTGTTATTGCAGTATAACTAGAATTTCAGGAATTTAACACTCAACTGTTTACAGTATTTTTATTGATAATACCCCTACAGAAAAAAAAAGTTGATGGCCAGTTGAGAGCCATGTGGCGGACAGTTGAGGGCTAGCTGTTTTAAGCAAAATAGTTGAGGGCTAGGTGTTGAGCAATTTAGCTCAACATAAACCTGGACAAGCACTGTATGTTGGATAGATGTCGCTCAACTGGCCCTCAACTGAAGCTGGCCATTAAGTTGAGGAAAAGTTAAGCAATTGATCTTTGGTTTTCATGTAGTTGAGCAAAAGTTGAGCATTCAGACTTTGAATTTTTGGTAGTTGAGGAAAAGTTGAGCAAAGGATCTTTGTTTTTTTTTTTGTAGTTGAGAGAGAACCCTTACAGAAATGAAAAGTTTGCTGCAATATTGCAACTATATTGCGGCAATATTGCAGCAAACAAACTTGTTTGCAAGAAAGTTGCAGGATGTTGCAGCTACCTGCATCATTCTCGCAATGTTACTGCAACATTATTTGTTTGCGAGAAAATTGCAGCAAATTTGCTGAAATGTTGCAAGAAAGAGTTTGTTTGCTAGAAAGTTGCAGGAACCTTTTCTTATATTCTCTAAGGAATAACTGTTTGTAACAACTTTGCAAGAAACTTTGGTTATACATTATAGTTCAATTCATGTTACTCAGAACTATTTGGATACTTGAATTATTTAAAAAAAAAAAAAAAAAAGGTCTTCAAATAACAATTAATGCTTATAAACAATTTCCTAAACTGTACTATAATACATTTATGATATCTTGTAAGAAAGAATTTCAAGAATGCCTAAGGTTTTTATTTCAACAAGTTTAAACTAAATAATTGTGACATATTAATTTGTTTTTCACTTTTTTATGACCTTTTTCTATGAACAATATTTTTATTTTTTCCATCTAATGAATTTAGCCTATATGTTGCAGGTTACATATTGTTTAATTTCTAGTATCATTATTTAATTATATGTATACACAAATTATTTGCATGCCCTCTTTCTCATCTCAATTAGAAATATGAGCTGGTGATATAAATGTTATGTGCCATCTGTTTTCCATTTATCTCTGTGTAGTGCAAGTAGACAGGAAGTATGTATTATTATAAATGTACACAGAGTTTGAGGCCAAATTAAGGGAAGCACATGTTTTTATACATTTTTCTGTAATTACTATAACTCATAACATAAAGATAAAAAACAAACAATATTTTTTTATTGTAATATATATCAAATATTCAAGATTTAGGTAATTAACAGTTATCATTAGGGGCACATTTCAAAGGGATCACACTGTCACAATACCCTAATCAACCTCAATCAAATTTAAAATTTGAACTGGGCATGAGCAAGCACATGGCAAGCAAAGATGTCTTCTAGCTATCATGAACAAAATATGAATTTTACAATGGATGTAGATCAAAAAGTTACAAATAACTGTATTGACATTGAATAGTGCAGATGTATTCTTCTGATGACATGACTCTTGGATTAAGGAAGATTGATGTTTACACATATTTATGGATAACATCTTTTGGTAAGTACAATGGATTAGAATTTCCACCATTTTGAATAAGTGCATATGCTCTTTTAGTTCAAAATAGTGATATTTAAAGTGTCTTCTTAACTTTTTAGAGTGAAGAAAAAATTTAGACAATATATTTATGCATTAATTTATATATTATCAAAATGTGTAAGACAGGAGACATATTTTTTTTATTATTAAGACAATTTGTTTTAGAAAGTATTACTAATAAAATAAGAAACTTCTAATATAATGAATTTGATATAAAACTAGAGATCTGGGGTATGCCAATAAGACATCTATCCACAAATGACAGATAGATATATATATCTTTTTTCTGGTTGAACAACACTTTATGTTGTGAGTATTTTTGCAATGTGCACTTTGAATACCTCCCATTGTACTGACTTTTGCCATTTTGGTTTATAAAGGGGGGTGGTGGTAGAAATTTTTAAGGAAAGAAAATTGTTTTAGGGTTAAATGAGCAGGTACACTTAAATTAATACAGTTAATAGGGTAATAGAAATTTTATGAAGGCCTTTTACTATAATTTAAAACAATTTTACTTAGACATAGTTAGAGCAATTTTACTAGCCTCTGGTTTAAGCTATAGAGTGATCAATCATGAAGACAGCATTTAGAACTTTTTTTACAATACTTTGCTTTATCGAGGCACTCTGACAGTCAACAGATAAAAATAGTGGGGAAGAACAATTTCATAACATTTTTTTTTCTCAAATAGTGAAGCAAAATATCAGATACATTCTTATCATGTATTTATCCACATTTGTTTAGTTTAATTGATTTGTATAATTGGTTAAATGTAGGCAATACAGAACAGACTTTTGATGTAAATGTTTGTTGAATAACATTTAAAAATATGATATATGATTATGTCATCTTATTAATTTTACAAACAGTGTTTAATCACATTTATAGTTATCATAATTATATATATATATATATATATATATATATAGGTTTAATTTCTTTTTACTTTCAGACTTTGGTCTTATCCATTTCAAGATGTTGCCCACAGATGTCACATGTGCAATTAATGAAAAAATGTACAGTGGAAGGAAGATATTACAAAAGAAAGAAAAAGACAATTAAGGATTTTTCAACATTAAACATTGTTTCAATATATATCTTACTTCTTCTTGCATAAAAAGTAATATGGCTGCAGGATTAACTAGATTTTATTTACTAGATAACTTTTAAAAAGCAAGGATAAAGCTGTCATGTAGTCTGTTGTGAGTTTAGATCTTTCAGCAGTATTTTGGCTATATAAAATACACAATTTAGATTTATTTTTTCTACAATTTGTAGTCATCAGTTTGCAATGACCAGCTAATGCTCAACTTTAATGACCTGGCCCTCAACTATTGGCCACCTAGCCCTCAACTTTTAATGACCTGGCCCTCAACTATTGGCCACCTAGCCCTCAACTTTTAATGACCTGGTCCTCAACTGTTGGCCAGGTAGCCCTCAACTCTAATTGCTCAACTGTTGGACACCTAGCCCTCAACTATGATATTTTGCTCAACTTTGCTCAACTAATTTGCATAAAGTTGAGCAATTGATAGTTGAGGGCTACCTAATTTGCTTGGCAAAAATCCAGGTAGCCCTCAACTATTTGCTCAACTGACGGCCAGCTAGCCCTCAACTGTTTATTCAACTGGCGGCCAGTTGAGCTATGCAGTTGGCCATCCTATCATTTTTTTCTGTATTGGTACAAACAAGTTTAATAATTGTCCTACAAATCTTACTTTTTGCCTAACTGGATTTGTTGATGAAACTAAGAACTATGTTGTTGCTATAAGATCATTGCATCTGTTTTTGGATTTCTTCATTAAAGTAAATTCCCTTATTAATACTATGTAAGAAGACCAAGATGTCTTCTGCATTGAGATTGTGTACAGATTTCCTGTTAGGATTGCTCAAGATTATGCCTGCTTGATTTGTTTGTGATTTTACTAAAAGAAATCTACTCTGAAGTACAGCCACTGTTTTTATAGTGTAGGACAGCATGTTTTCACATCAGCAAGTTTAAGTACCAGAAAATGCTAGCATTCTTTGATACCATATTATTTATTCTTGCTTGGTTTACCCCGTTGATTTCTTTTCGTCTTTCACCTGGATTATATAGAGTTGTGCTTTTTTGGAACTGATTTTTATTGTACATTTTTCTGTATGAACCTTTGTTTATACTTAACTAATTGAGATTAAAAGGGAAAGGGTTGAGATACTAAATACCTAGTTTAACCCTGGCACATGTTCACATACCTGTCCAAAGTCAGGTACAGTATCGCCTTCAGTTATTTAGGGAATTAAATATTGATGGCATATTTTATAGTCTTAAATTGATTTACGACTTTGACAGATTTTTACAATTTAGAGCTTGTCATTGTATAATGTATAAACATTTGTCTATTGTTGAAGACAGTATGAAGACCTCCAGATGTCTTTTACTCATTTTGGGTTGTTGTATATCCAACATATTACTTTATTTGCATGAGTTTTTGAATTGGTCATTGTAGTATTTCTGTAGTCAACAGGAATAGAATTTTTTTTTTTTCTGTAAGAGAATACTAATTTTTAAGTATATAAAATTGCAGAGACAAAGACTGTTTGAAGTGTACCCTTCTGACTAATATAGATTTGGGTCATTTAAATTTCATAAAATTTTAAAAACATATTTACTTTGACCTGTTGACAAAAATATAAAAATTTCAAAAAATTTGAACCACACAATTTACAGGAATAAACAGGAATAATTTCATTGGATATATAGCAGTTTGATAAACACTAATTTTGATCATTGAGAAGCTCTTTACTAATAGTATGTGATTAAAACATTCAGTAGATTTTTAAACAGTAAACTTGCTTAGATGTTCTCTGTACCCCCTTAATCATTTAAATTATAAAATAAGCAAAGTTTTCAAACTATACAAAGAATGCACCCGTTGTTGTGCTAAACATAGTCCCACTAGTAATTTAAATTATAGGAAAACAGGAAGTAGGTTTCTGACAGACCTCAAAGTTTAAAATTGATCAATGCCAAATGATAACTGAATAAGAAGTCATTCTGTTCAGCAGTACTTGAGAAAAGTGTCACCAAAATTTAAGTTCATTGAACATATTGAATAAAGAGCTGCGCCATGAGTGCATGATACACTGCGCTTTTTCAAAGATTAAAGTTCTGTAACTCCTCAATGTCATTTCAAAAATTTATAAAAAACTTAAGGGAGGTTATTTTAATAGATATAAACCAGTCACCAAAGTTTCATGAAAACTGCTCAAAGCACTTTTCAGTTATTGTAAGAAAACTGGAAAATTACTCTGAAACGTAAAATCTAAAGTTTATAAAAATCGAAAGGGAGCTCACGTCAATAGATATAAACCATTAACCAAAGTGTTATGAAAACTGCTCAAAGCATTTTTGAGTTATTGTAAGAAAACTGGAAAATCCCCCTTTTTTAATGAATAAAACCCAAAAAATTGGAAACGTAAAATCTAAAATTATAAAAATTTATAAAAATCGAAAGGGAGCTCACGTCAATAGAAATAAACAATTCACCAAAATTTCATGAAAACTGCTCAAAGAATTTTTGACTTATTGTCCTAAACTGGAAAATCCCCCTTTTTTAATGAATAAAACCCCATAATTCAGAAGCATAAAATCTAAAACTTATAAAAATCGAAAGGGAGCTCACGTCAATATATATAAACAATTCACCAAAGTTTCATGCAAATTGGTTAAAGTGTTTTTTTGAGTTATTGTCCGACATGTTGACGATAGACAGACAACTGTATACCATAATACATCCCGTAAACGAGCGTATAAAATTCAAAGTATCTGCAAACAGGAAGAAGGTGTCTGAAATATCAGAAAAATGCTCACGAATTACAATGCATAACTGTCAAACTGCTTATAAATATGAAGTCATTTTGTTCATTAGTACCTGAGAAAAGTGTGAGGGAAATATATGTTGGACGAACAGAGGGACAAGCTGAATGCAATATAGCCTCCCACTCTAGGAGAGGGAGTATAATAGTTATGGTCGATATGATATGTCATACATCTTTTAGTCCAAAATTTTGATATTATTTCTATGTCAGGTTGTTTACTGTACATAAAATAAGAATTTGAAAAACTAGAGGCTCTCAAGAGCCTGTGTCGCTCACCTTGGTCTATATGCATATTCAACAGGGGACTCTCTCCAACATTGTACATTGTAGACGAGAATAAAATTAATGACAAAAATCTCTGTTTTTTTTTTGTATCTTATATTGCTGATCATTGAAGTCTGTTTAGTTTCTCTCTATCTTCATGATCTTATTTAGCTTTTGCTCTAAACACAAAAGAGCGTAAAAAAACTCCTATAAAGAGTAACAGTCTACTTATTATATCAGCAAAATTTGACTTGTTAGTAGGTCTCCTCTTGCTTATCATTTTTGATTATTTAAGTTTCTATCTATCTATTATAATTAATATCATACAAGGAAAAACTCCAAAAAAATAGTAAAAATCATAATTAAAGGGCAATAACTCCAATAAGGAGTCGTTGGACAATTTCTGCCATTTGTCTTAATTGTAGATTTTATCTTGCTGATCATTTTTGTATATTAAAATTTCTTTCTATCTATTATAAGTTTTAAGATACAAGACAAAAACGCAAAAAAAATTGTACAAATCGGAATCAAAGGGGCATAACTCTAATAAGGAGTCAACTGATGATTTCAACCAAAAGACTTATTTGAAGAACTTGTCCTTCTGATCATTTTTGCAATTTAAAGTTTCTCTCTATCTTTTATAGTTTTCAAGATATGATAATAGGCAAAAATCGAAAAAAAGTGGTAAAATTTGTCATTTAAGGGCAATAACTCCTACAGGAAATTGTCTTACTGTCTTGACGTATATGGATAATTGGTAGAGCTCAACATTCTGAACAATTTTACCCTCTTCAGATTTCCTCTTTTTATAACGATTATCAGAATAATAGACAAAACTTGCATTTTACCCCATATGTTCTATTTTTTGCCATGTCGGCCATCTTTGTTGGCAGGCAGGGTCATCGGACACATTTTTTAAACTGAATACCCTAATGATGATTGTGGCTAAGTTTGATTCTATTTGGCCCAGTAGTTTCAGAGGAGAAGATTTTTGTAAAAGATTACAAAAATTATGAAAAATTGTTAAAAATTTACTATAAGGGCAATTACTCCTTAAGGGGTCAATTGACCACTTTGGTCATGGTGACTTATTTGTAGATCTTACTTTGCTGTACATCATTGCTGTTTACAGTTTATCTATATCTATAATAATATTGAAGATAATCACCAAAAACTGCAAAATTTTCTTAAAATTACCAACTCAGGGGCAGCAACCCAACAACGGCTTGTCTCATTTGTCTGAAAATTTCAGGGCAGATAGATCTTGACCTGATGAACAATTTTACCACATGTCAGATTTGCTCTAAATGCTTTAGTTTCAGAGATATAAGCCAAAATCTACATTTTACCCCTATGTTCTATTTTTAGCCATGGCAGCCATCTTGGTTGGCGGGCCGGGTTGTCGGACACATTTTTTAAACTAGATACCCAAATGATTGTGGCCAAGTTTTGTTAACTTTGGCCCAGTAGTTTCAGAGGAGAAGATTTTTGTAAAAGTTAACGGACGATGGACGCCAAGTGATGAGAAAAGCTCACTTGGCCCTTTGGGCCAGGTGAGCTAAAAATTAAGATTGGAATTGTAAAAGTTGCACATTTAATATATAATAATCATAATATTAACTATTTATTGGTTTTCGAAACTTTTAATCTCTTATTCCACAATATCAGTCAGATGTTATGGCCTTTAATTTTTATAAAGATAAGAAAACATTTCAAGAATATAATTTCTTGATCCTTGAAATATACCCCAAAGCAGAAAAGGAAATTAAAGAAAATAAAGATGAAATGTTTTGAAGGTTTTAAAAGGTTTAATCGAAACAAGATGCAGTAATGTCAGCAAAATTTCTTTTTTTTTCATGTTTAGTGATTAGGCAAAGTGAACTCCCCCTTGTTGTAGTGTAACATGAGGATATAACTATTTTTACCTGATTCAAAGAGACAAATTCAGCATCCAAACCTACAACATCCTTTTCCTTGGGGCGTTCTTCATCTATGAGGGTTGTGAAAGTTATCTTCCTCCTTTCAGGACTAACTAGACAATTGTCATCATACAAGACATCTTCTGATATAGGATTTTTCACTAAATAGACCAAATTATACTATTATTCAAAATAAATCCTTGTCACAATATGGATTCTTCACTTAATAGACCAAATCATACCTTTATTATTTATGCTACATCTCTATGTTGCAAATAAAAAGAATAAAGTGTTTTGAACTGTAAGGTTACTCCTTGCTTCGTCTTTCAGTAGCAATATTGATAAATTATTCAAAAGAAGAATGCCAATATACTCAACTGTCTCACCTGCTTTACTGATCAAGGCTGAATCTATATTGAAAGGTTTAAATACAACTATCACTAAGTCAATGATCCATGTAAATGAGATCAAGGTAAGATGAATCCTGTCAAAAGGATATGTACATCTTACAATCATTTCAGTGAAAAGCTCATCAGAGCTTATACTTTTAATTTGTTTGTCAATATGCTGAATCAAAAAAAGTTTTACTTACTTATCATTCTATCAACAAGATATAGTTAACCTATTGCTTATAGTATATGAGAAACAGACCTAATCAAGAAAACTTACAACTGACCAATGAACTGTGAAATAAGGACAAGGTGAAGGAAGCCCTGCCAGATGGACATGTATACCTTGCAATCATTCCATTTTCTTAAAGTTGTTGACCTATTGCTTATGGCATCTAAGAAACAGACCGATCTAACCACAAAAACTCAGTCATATGAAACTTCAAAATTAAATAAATTGCTTCGCCGAGCGCAGCTGGATACGACCACAGAGGTCCACCCTGAACAGTTGGGGCAAAAATGGACACAATATTTGCGCTTGATACAGGTCTGAATTTTGATTGTAATTCAACATTTGACACATAATAGGTTTCTGACACAGAATAACTGTAGTCAAAGAACTCAGAATTGGTAATATGATTTGAATTTATATTAAATTTTTTGCTTTCATGCAATACACTATGCTGTTGCGAATTGACCTCTCCCCCCCCTCCAAATTTTTTTTTTACCCCCCTTCTTTTTCAAAATTTTTCTTTACTTTTTTTACCCCCGCCCCCCCCCCCCCCCCCTCTTTAAAAAAAAAAAAATATTTGAAGAAATTTTCTTTTTGATTTCTGAAATCTTGAGGAGAAAAAATTGTCCCTCCCCCCTCCCCCCCCAATTTTTTTTTTACCTCCCCCCTTTTTCCAAAAAAAAATTCTTTCCCTCAAGACATGGTCATAATCTCAATTCAAATTTCCAATGGAGTTTGCAACCATAATAACCCATTTAAATACATCATAAAAGTCTTAAAATAGAAAATAACATCAAATCATAGCTAAAATTAATTTACCTTAATCAGCATTTTCAAAATCATTAAAATAGTAACTTCTAAAAATGAATTGACAGCTAATCACCTGAAGACAATACAACATTTCTGAATACATAATTTAAAAGCAGTGTAAGGGAGGTAATTCAAAGTTGTGTTTGAATTACCTCCCTTACACTGTAATTTGTACTTAAGTAATTGTCCATTAACCAGGACACCTTGTTTTTTCTCACTTTTTTGCCCCTAATTCCTAAACGGTTTGAGCCAGAACCCCCCAAAGCCAATTCTAACCATCCCTTTATCCCTTTGTGGTATGGAAACTTGTGGTATAATTTCAGAGAGATCCATTCACTGTTTCACAAGTTATTGTCATGAAACTAGAAAAATGCTTATTTGGGCCCCCCTTTTTGGCCCCCAATTCCTAAACTGTTGGGACCATACCCCCAAAATCAATCCCAACCTTCCTTTTGTGGTTATAAACCTTGTGTTTAAATTTCATAGATTTCTATTTACTAATACTAAAGTTATTGTCCGGAAACCAAATGTCTTCGGACGACGACCGCAAAATTGTTTGCGGTCGTATAAAAACTAGAGGCTCTAAAGTGCCTGTGTCGCTCACTTTGGTCTATATGCATATTCAACAAAGGACACTCTCCAACATTGTAGATGAGAATCGAATTCATGACAAAAATCTCTGTTTTGTTGATCTGGTATTGCTGATCAATTAGTCTGCATAGTTTCTCTCTATCTTCTTTAGTTTTTGCTCAAAACACTAAAGAGGGTAAAAAAAATCCTCATTTAAGGGAAATCGCTCCTTTAAAGAGTGACAGTCTACTAACTATTTCTGCAAAATTTGACTTGTTAGTAGATCTTGCCTTGCTGATCATTTTTTTTTTATTTAAAGTCTCTATTTATCTATTATAATTTTTATCATGTAAGGCAAACTGCCAAAAAAATGGTAAAAATCGTCATTTAAGGGCATTAACTCCAATAAGGAGTTCTCGGACGATTTCCTTCATGTTGTCTTAATTGTAGATCTTGTCTTGCTGATAATTTTTGCTTGCTTAAGTTTCTATCTATCTATTATAATTTTTAAGATACAAGGCAAAAACGAAAAAAAAAAGTAAAAATCGTCATCAAAGGGCAATTACTCTAATAAGGAATCGACTGACTATTTCGATCATTAGACTTTTTTGAAGAACTTGTCTTGCTGATCATTTTTGCAATTTAAGGTTCTCTCTATCTATTATAGTTTTCAAGATAATAGACAAAAATGAAAAAAAAACAAGAGGCTCTCAAGAGTCTGTGTCGCTCACCTGAATCTACTGTGGTTTTGAAAATCATGTAAAATAAGGTTAAAATCATAATAAATAGTATTAGATATCCCAATAATGATTGAGACCAAGTTTGGTTTAATTTGGTCCAGTAGTTAAATTAAAAGCAGGTCATCCCATTGTAGTCTTACAAAAGTTACTGAGGACCCCTTATCATTATTCAAATTAGTTTTCAAGTTGTGACCATTTGAAATTGTTTTTTTTTAAATTTTCCCATAGACTTCTAAAGTAAACCCCTATGTTCTATTTTTAGCCATAGCAGCCATCTTGGTTGATGGGCTGGGTCATCGGATACATTCTTTAAATTAGATACCATAAGGATGATTTAGGCCAAGTGTGGTTTAATTTGGCCCAGTAGTCTCAGAGGAGAAGATTTTTGTAAAAGATTACAAAAATTTATGAAAAATTGAGTTTAAAGGGCAATAACTCCTTATGGCATCAATTGACAATTTTGGTCATGTTTGACTTTTTTGTAGATCTTACTTTGCTGAACAATTTTGCTGTTCCCAGTTTATCTCTATCTATTATAATATTCAAGATAATAACCAAAAACCAAAACTTTTTGGGAAAAAAAACCAAAAAATTATGAAAATAATAATCCCCCCCTAAAATTTTTTTTTTGAACCCCCCCCCCCCAAAAAAAAAAATTTGCAAAAAAATTGAAATTTGAAAAAATATGAACCCCAAAAAAATTTGAAAAAAAAATCTCCCCCCCCCCCCCCCCCCAGCAAATTTTTTTTTTGAAATTTTAAAGATTATTTTCTTTTCAGGAAAAATATACAAATTCAGAGAGTTCCATAAACTTTAACACAAGTTATTGTCTGGAAACTAGAATAATAAAGTTTTTGGCAATTTCCAATATACATAATTTAAAAGCAGTTTAGGTGAGATAAACAAAAAAGCTTCATCAGCAAAATTTTATATTGGCAAATTTCCAATGAAGTTCATTAAACTAAAGTTATTGGCAAATTTCCAATGGAATTTATTAATAATAAAGTTTTTGGCAAATTTCCAATATACATAATTTAAAAGCAGTTTAGGTGAGATAAACAAAAAAGTTTCATCAGCAACATTTTATATTGGCAAATTTCCAATGAAGTTCATTAAACTAAAGTTATTGGCAAATTTCCAATTGAATTTATTAATAATAAAGTTTTTGGCAAATTTCCAATATACATAATTTAAAAACAGTTTAGGTGAGATATTCAAATGAGTTTCAATTACCAACCTTACACTGCCTTTTAAATTATGTTTGTACTTAAGTAATCGTCCATTAACCTGGAAACCCTTTTCCCCCCTTTTTTACACCTTATTCCTTAACGGTTTGAGCCATAACTCCCAAAGACAATTCTTACCATCCCTTTGTGGTATTCCAATATCCAAAATCTAAATACATGGTTAGATTCAGCATATCAAAGAACCCCAAGAATTCAATTTTTGATGAAATCAAATAAAGTTCAATTTTGGACCCTTTAAACCTCAATGTGGACCAATTTGATAACCAGGCCCAAATATCAATAAAATGCTTCGCTGGGGCGCAGCTTGATACGACCGCAGAGGTCGAACCCTGAACAGTTGGGGCAAGTATGGACACAACATTCAAGCTTGATACAGCTCTGAATTTGGATTGTTATTAAATATTTGACACAGCATAGGTTTCTGACAACACATGTTTAGATTCAGCATATCAAAGAACCCCAAGAATTCAATTTTTGCTAAAATCAAACTAAGTTTAATTTTGGACCCTTTGGACCTTAATGTAGACCAATTTAAAAAACGGGACTTAAAATTAAAAATCAAAATACACGGTTAGATTTGGAATATCAAAGAACCCCAATAATTCAATTTTTGTTGAAATCAAACAAAGTTTAATTTTGGACCCCAATTTGGACCAACTTGAAAACTGGGCCCATAATCAAAAATCTAAATACATGTTTAGATTCAGCATATCAAAGAACCCCATATATTCAATTTTTGTTGAAATCAAACAAAGTTTAAATACTGGACCCTATCTTTGACCAACTTGAAAACTGGGCCCATAATCAAAAATCTAAACACATGTTTAGATTCAGCATATCAAAGAACCCCAAGAATTCAATTTTTGTTAAAATCAAACTAAGTTTAATTTTGGACCCTTTGGACCTTAATGTAGACCAATTTAAAAAACAGGACCCAAAATTAAAAATCTAAATACACAGTTAGATTTGGAATATCAAAGAACCCCAATAATTCAATTTTAGATGAAATCAAACAAAGTTAAATTTTGGACCCTTTTGACCTCAATATGAACCAATTTGATAACGGGGTCCACAAATAAAAAATCTAAATACATTGTTAGATTCAGCATATCAAAGAACCCCATATATTCAATTTTTGTTGAAATCAAACAAAGTTTAATTTTGGACCCCAAC